GAACAGTGGTTCCCAAACTTTTCAGCTTTTGACCCACAAAATAACAGCAGCAGAGACCTGTGCCCCCAGCTATTTTTGGATGATAAACATTTTTATCAGGTCAATAAAACATGGGCATAGTAACAATATTTTTATACTACATTTGTCCATTTTAAATATACTAACCTCACTCCTTTGGAACAACTAAGGCAAAAATGAAATTAATTCCAAAAATCTTTTCAGGACCCCACCTTGATGTTTCAGGACCCCACTTTGAGTCCCGACCCCAACTTTGGGAAACACTTCTTTTCTTTATTTTTTTTTACACAAATGATTTTTTAAAGAGCAATTTTCATTGGTTTTTGAGCTTGGAAAAGTTTCTAAAACAGATTAAATCTGAGGTGAAACATATCTCAATCAAAGACAAATCTCTGAACAATAAAATCCACCAGTTTAAGATATTTGGTTTTAGATTAGATTGAATTATAAATTTTAGAAATTAAGTTGTTGAGTTAGGCATTTGATTGATTGATTGATTGATTGATTGATTGATTGATGATGCCTTTACTGTCATTGTACGGGGCACAATGAAATACCTTTTTTTAAAAGCACCACATCCCGGCCATAGAAAATTCCACATCATTTTTCTAATGTTAAAAGTTAATTTTCTTTATACTAATTAATGACACAATGTCGGGGAACCCAAAAGACAGAACTTGCAAACATAATCAAATGAAGCAGGTATGAGAACAGGACATGTCTCTTCTTTTGCTGTCATAATGTACAGCAACATTTTGGATTTTCCTGAATAAAATAAACTTGAATGAAGGAAAAGATATCAGGTTTAATCAGAAGCCATAGCTGTAACGTCCTGATAGAGCTGAACGTGTTTTGAATGGTTGAAATTGCAAAATGTATGCTGAAGTAATTAGGAATCCAAAGAAACTATAAACAGGAAAAAAGCATGAATGCTGAGTCAGCATTGAACATTATAAGAGAAAGCTTCCTTCCAGCTCTCCCTCCTGCCAGAAATCATCCATTATATTCACGTGTTTGCAATCTTGTATAAATATCTCATAGTGATACTTGAGTAAAAGTACATGCCACAGACATCTTCGTGTCTACTATGTTCTGCTAACATTAACTAATGGAGGAACACAATGGTACATCCTTTTCATCCAACCACAAATAAATTCACTAGTTTTCACTGTTTTCTGTATGAAAGAAAATACAGCAGCAGTGCTGTTTACAAGGATATTTTCAGAAACAATAAATAAAAATACGATTGTGGATAAAAGCTCGCAGTATAAGCTTTAATGTAAGCAGCCTTCCTCCAGGCCTCTGTGGTGAGCTGCTTTTTTTAAAACTTGAAGGTGTTTGCCACTTTTGTACTAAAGCGCAATACATAATTAATGCAGTGCTTGGCACATCAAAGATCAAAAGATGATATATGAAAAAAAAAGTAAGTTGAAGCCTAAATGGCACTGAGTCAAGGTGTTTGTGTGTTTTTGTGCGGAGCTGTGACAGAAAAAGAAAGTTCCCGATTCTCCTTTTGATTCAGTGGGAATATTTCCATCATCCGTCCACTGTTTGAACCTTTTTTTAATCCTGTTTACAGGATGACTAGTCTCGCCTCGAGCCCTTAATGTGTAATATGAGGCCGACAGAACCCGATCCTTTTAAACACCTCAATCTGGATGAGTTCTCTCATCTTTCGGCTGGATCAAGCTATTTAACCCTCGACTCGAGCCATGATTAATAGCGGTCTGACCCTTCACCCCCATCCACATAAATTCTCGGCTGTTTTTTTYTTCTTCTTTCTAACGCCTGAGGTGTGATGTTCACAAAGGTCTTAAATCCTCACTTACTTCTAAATTGCAATATCTCTTGCCTCAGAAATGCCTTTTGTTTCTTGACTTTATGCAACGTGTTTAAGCCTGGGGAGGGATGAGGGACCACCACTGTTAACGTTACACTTTGCCGTTGCTGCTTCGACAGCTCCCCAATCCTCCTCCTCCCCCTCTTAAAGTGGGTGATAAATGACACAAGAGCCTTTTGGCGTCCTTTGTGCTTTCCTAGAAGGCATCTTGGCTTCGTCCAGCAGCGTTGGACAATGCCTCTCAGTCCTGAGGAATGTACAAATATTTAATTTTTATCAACCGGCATCGAGGCTGAAAAGCAAAAACGTTTTAGCTTGCGTTTCAGTGTGTGTTTATTTGTCTGCACAATTTGCTGAATATCTCATAAACCACGAAACCAATTTTAATGAAATTTCCACAACTTAAATATTGGATGTATATCCTCATATCCTCGAGTGGCCCCGTTTTAAAACCTCTAAAAGATCATTTTAGATTGGATCCATTTTCAGTTTTAACCAACTTAGCAAAAGGAAGAAACAGCAAAATAAGATGAATAATTGGGTGTTAAGTGACACGTCTTGTCCTTAAAATCTGATTCCACTTAAATGGGACCAGTTGATTGAGTGCAGAGGAAAAGAGGTGAGCTAAGAGGAGCCCAGGAGTGTTTTGGGATCACCGGGCCGTTCGCAGAAGTGTCCAGCATTGTCTGCCCCAAAGGAAGGTCCCAATCGTCAGCGTCCGAGTTTACATTCCTTCACCCTCCCCACCAGGGTCAGGGTTTTGTCTCGGGGCAGCGGTGAGGCAACTTCCCCTGCGGAAATCAACTCAAGCTGACACAGAGATTGTTGGAGATGAGCACAGAGGCAGGAAGGAGGAGCACCGTACACCCGGGCTCCAAACAAGCATGGAGAAGCATTAAACCGCTTAACGAGACAAATTTAGACTAGAGAAATGATCATTTTCTTCAAAAACTACAGTGTGAAGGCTGAGTACTGGCTGATTATTGTGAACTTTGTTAAAAGAATGAATATTTAACTCAGTTTTTAAGTTGAAACAAGCAGAACCAAAACTAAAAATGGCAAAACAATAAAGGCTGAAAGGAGCA